GTTGGGCCAGGGCCTGTTGGGACAGGACAAGGGGAGATGTTTTGAAACACAGAGAGATTGAGACTGGAGAGGAGAAAGAAATGTTTGAGAGTGGTGATCCCCTGGCCCAGGTTTCCCCGAGAGGTGGTTGCTGCCCCATCCCTGGAACCATTCCAGGGGAGGTTGGCTGGGGCTCTGAGCACCCTGCTCTAGTTGGGGATGTCCCTGCTCAGTGCAGGGAGGTTGGACTAGGTGACCCTGAAAGGCCCCCTCTCCCCCAAACTGTTCTGTGATTCCATGACTTTTTCTGTTCCATTAGACACGTGTCCCTTGGTTTGTCCCACCCGGGTGCTTCAGGCTGTCTCCGTGGCTTGCACAGCCAGAGTGTGCAGGGCTGGTGCTGGGAAGGCTGAAGCCACAGGGGATGTGAAGGGCAGCAGAGAAGGTGCTGACAGGTCTGTAAGCATGGACAGCACAAGGGAAGGTGGCTCGGGCATGGGGACCTGCGTTAGTGGTGCCCTGGCAGGGCTGGGTTAAGGGTTAGACCTGATGATCTGAAAGGTCTTTTCCAACCCCAACGTTTCCAGCATGCCGGGTGCCCAGTGACCTCTTCTCCTGGACTCAGGGCTGGGTGGGACCCGCTGCCCATTGCCAGCTCTGGGGCAGAAAAGGCTGTGAAGTCAGGGTTGGTCTGTCCCTCAGCCGTCCTCTCCTGCCGACACCGCTGCACGTTAAATGTGACACCCGGAGCCGGGTCACCTCCCGGAGCCCGGACACCTCCGGCCTCCCCTCCTTCCATTACCGTAATTGGGTCCCCTGGAGCCATCTGCGCCCTGGGCACAGGGACCTCGCGCCCGGGATGAATAATTCACCACTTGGAAACAAAACCTCCAGCCTCAAAACCGATCGGCAGCTGCTGCCGGGGATCCGTGTGCCCGGGAAGGGTGCTGGGGGGGCTGGCCAGCGGGACTCAGGGGCTTCCCCCAGAACTGGGGCTGGGGTGAGCTCTGGCACCCCTGTGGTAAGGACCTCGCTGCCACTC